AGTCGGGCCCCGCCTCCGAGAGGGAGGCAAGCGAAGGCACGGCCGGCCCCCGAGGTTCCCCTACGCGGTGCGCCGGCCCGCCGGGCGCCCTGCCAGAGGCGCGTTCGAGCCGTGGTCCCGCCTCCCCGCCGTTCTGATTGGGCCTGTCTGGGGGTGTGCGGGAGGGGCGGAGCGCGCGCGGGGGATACCGCAAAGATGGTTTCGTCCAACCGTGAGGCCAGGCACCCTCCTCCCCCCCCCGGTTCAAGTTTCTGCGCCCGGAGGACGCGGCCTGGGCCAATCCCAGGACTACAAGGCGGTTTTAAAATGCAGGTAGGGCTGGGGGGTGGCGGGGACCGGTGGGAAAGGTAGGGTAGGGCTTCCCTTAAAGGCGACGCGCGGAAATGCGCGTCCCCCTATCGGGCCCGCGTCGCTGACCCTCCCTTTCTCATTCTTAATAAACAAATGCCCACCGGGTGGGCGCAGTTCCCTTCCTCCCTCCTGGGAGCACCAGAGTTCGGTACAGTCCGTGAGAGGAGGAACAATAGGACCCTGACGTGGGGGGTCGGGCAGAGCTGCTCTTTGTCCCTTTCCGGGCCACCGACCTCCTCCGCCCCAGTTCCTGGGTCCCCTGCCTACACTCGCAGCGGGGCTGCCTTTCCACTCCTAGCTCAGGACTGTAGAGCCTTGCCAGCCTTATCTCAGGGACAGACAGATCTCTCCCCTCTTCCCCCTGGCCTGATGGGGCGAGGGGGCCTGGGACCTGCCCATTTCCTGGAGCGGCTCTCGGAGCCCTGCCCCTTCGCACACGCAACCGCTAAATCCCTGGGATTGGAGGAATATCTTTGGTTCGCTAGGTGGAAACCCCTGGGAAACGCGAGGGAAGGTCTTCCACCCCGGCCATAAAGCTGGGGTCCAGAGGCGCACAGCAACGGGAGAACCTTCCCCCGCCCCGCATCATTGCGGGGCATTCAGATCTTCCTACAGCCTCTAAGTCCGGTCCCCAAAGCGCATTTACGGCGCTTCTGCAGTCGGCAGGCTGAGGGAAGGGTGCGTTTTCCCTGGACCCGCAAGGAGATAACCCACCCCAGGCGCACGCACACCGGGGTAAGCTACCCAGGGCCTGGAGCGCGTGCCCGCGCAGTCGCTGACGTCCCCTTTTACAGTTACTCAGCCGTTTGCTGAACCACTGCGTGTGCCCTCTCACACCTTCCTCAGCGCGGGGCAGTTCTACCCGGACATGACCACAGAGGTGGTGCCACGGCCCTCTGAGGGTGCTTGGCATTCTTGGGAGGAGGGAGAGTATAACGTGAGAAGACACCGTGAGGCCGTCTGCAGCGCTATGCAGGGAAATCAGTTGCCTTAGATCTTGTTTTCTGGGAGGGACTAGGACGTAGGAGCTTGGATCCGAGCCTGAGCAACAAGGACAAAGGTAAGCGGGGGAGGCTGTTCGGGTGGAGGGAAGAGCTAGCAGAGTGCCCTTAGGGGTTAGCCTGTCAGTGGCCAGTTCTAAGGAGAGGAGGGACCGGTGAGACGGCTCAGCAGGTGAAAGAGCCCGGTACCCAGCCTGACAACCTGAATTGATTCCCAGGAACCACGTGATGAATGAAAGGAGAGACCCCACTCCCTCAAGTTGTCCTCTGACACCCATACGTGGGCCATGGCATGCATAAACCCTCACACACACAAATAAATGTGACAGGCATGTTGGCGGAAGCCCTTGATCCCAGCACTCGGGAGGCAGAGGCAGAGACAGGCGGATCTCTGTGAGTTCCAGGACAGCCTGGGTTGTTACACAGAGAAACCCTGTCTCAAAACTCGAAAAACCAAAAGCAAACAAACAAACGAATAAATAAATAAATAAATGTAATAAGAGAGAGCCGTGGGTGGTGCAAGTCACTAATCCTAGGCAGAGGCAGGGGGAAACTGTGAATTCCAGGCCATCCTGGGCTACAGAGTGAGATTCTGTCTCAAAAAAAAAAAAAAAAAAAAAGGGAAAATGAACTATGAGGTCTGAGGTCAAAGGGCAAGCCCAGGTGTGACCTGAAGCAGGAAAGCAGTCTTGGATCACTTCTGGCTCTTGTGTCAAGGGTTGGGAACCACACTGGTTGGGCTAGATTCGGTCCTCTTTGCCCAGCCTCCCTCCCTCCTTGTAGATGAGCTGGAGAAAGGGGTGGGGAGGAGATGAGCCCCAGGGGTGCTGAGGCCAGCCGCATACTCTGTGTGGGTGAGTCAGCTGAGTCCAGTCTGGTGTTCCTGCAGGTCCAGCCCAGCACAGTTTGGGTTTAAAAAGGGGCTTTAAACAGCTTATGCCTCGGGAAGCTGGAGATCTGTTTTCACCCCAGGAAGCAAGATTTAGCAAGCCCCTGGAGGCTCCCCACAGAGCAAAGTGGGGAGTTGCTTCAGAGAGAGACTTGGGGGGGGGGGGCATGAGTGAGCAGAGCACACACCAAGAGGGACACTTCTGCTCACCAGGGAAATTGCTGAGACAATTCAATTTGCCCAGGGCTTAGTGGAAGCCATTATGTCTCCTTGTGGTGTCCCTGTGGCCTACAGTCTCTCTGTCTTCTGATTCTCCAGGGTGACAGCTTCGGTGGAAGAAAATGAAACCTTTATCCAAGCAGTGGTTCAAACCATCTCTACACACCACTGGCTGGGCAGCTTTTCTCCAGGACCATAACATCCTCCTGGGAGAGCTCGGGGGAGGGGGTAGCATTGGTGCTGCTGGGTGGTTTAAGAGTGGTTCCCTGCTTCCTCCCCCCCCCCAGTCCCCCCCTCCCCACCCCTTGCTTCACATGCTTGCTGAGAAGAGGATCCCAGGACCGAACTAGCATCCCAGAGCAAGAGCTCTCCAGGACAAATGTGCTGTGTCCCCCGGGAACACTCAGAGTCCAGTATAGCCACATAGCAAGTCTGAGGCCACCGGGAGTGGGGGGGGGGGGGCAGTGAGATCCTGTCTGAAAAAAAGCAGTCCCCCACACACTGCTAGTTCAAGGGGCTCGTATTCCTCTCCTTGCCTGCAAGCCTAAGCTCAGACATGCTTTGGCAGCCCTAGGTGTTTGCTAAGTGAATGATTGACCCTTCCATGCATGACCCATTGAGTTTGAGGCCCTTGTTTTAAAGGGAGGAAAACCGAGTCCCAGAAAGGAAGTACAAGGTCATTTTCATTCCTTGGTTTACTAGCCACATATATACGCTCCAGTACGTAAGTACCACCAATGAGTGAAGCGAAAACACCACTCTTACAGCCTCTTGGGGCCTGAGAAAAGTTTTCCTGGGCCAGCTGAATCCTGAAAGCTGAGGGGGGTGATTGGCAGAGATGGGGCAGGGTGCCTCCAAGTGGATGGAGCAGCAGAAGCAGAGGCTGGGGCGAGCCATGGAACCATGGAAGAGCCGTTTCAAGGAGGCATGTGCCTGGGCATGGAGAGGTGGGAGGTGGGAGGCACAGGCAGTGGAGCTGAGTGGAGACCATCCATGTTAGCACCATCCTTTGCCGGGGTCTCCGAGAGGTGACAGTTAGCAGCAGCAATAATAACCAGCATGAATGACAAGTTCCCCATAGCTGAGTAGATAGATTCGCCTCCCTTCCCTAGCCTTCCACACTGTAGGTACTCTAGCACTAACTAACCAAGGCCAGGAGTAACTTGGACAGTTACCAATGGGAAAGAGGTGTAGGAGGGAGTGGCCGGAATCTCCGGTAGGAGGGGGGTTATCTAGTTACCCCCCCCCTCCTCTGAGGGAATGTCAACTGGCCCGGCCTTGAGGCTCACAGCTGCCGTGAAGAACATAGCAGTGGCTGTTAGACTCAGGGTAGTGTCCAGTTCCAGGCTCCACGTGCAGCCTTTTGAGTCCTGCTATGTATGTGTCTGTGACAGCTGGCAGCTGCTTCTAGCACCCAGCCCTGCAGCTTCCAGATGCTCTGCATGCCAGGCCTCAGGTGCTACCTCAAGCCCCAAATCTACAACTAGCAGTCACACACACAAGAGAGATCTGAGACCCAGCTCCTCTGGTGTCTGAATATTTCATGCCGTGAGGATGGAATGAAAGTGGCACAGACCTTAATTGTTAATGTGGCTTCTGCTGGCTCCAGGCCCAGCCCTCCCAGCCCCTCCTATTTGAAATAGCAACAGTGGATCGTGATAACTTCTCCAGCACCCCAGGTCTTCTACCCTGCCCTGTGTGAGGCTGGGCTGGGAAGAAGTTGACCCCTGACCCCCAGCTGGCCAGAGAAGTCCATAACGTCCAGTGTTTGCTTACCATTTGTTCCCCAGTTCTCAACATAGAACCTTCGAAACAGGTGGAAAAAAAAAAATTTTAAGGAAAGCAGAATGGCCTGGCCTTAGAGTCTGTATATCTGGCCTCACACCACAGAATGGCCCTAGGTAGTCACGGACACACCTTGTCCTCTGTGCTTCTAGATCTGTACCTAAGCTTTGGACCATAAGAAGGGAAACTCCAACCCTAGCCCATACTGTGAGAAGAGAAGGAGCATCTTGGGCATTTTGCAAAATTTCAGAGTGTCGGGGGTGAGAAGATCCTGGAAATGGGACAGAGGGGTGGGAGATGAGAGACACAAAGATCAAGAGTCAGAATGACAAGACTCTCCAGCCAGCTCCAAGAACTACAAGACACCAGGGTAATGGGATCCTCAGCTGCAGGAACCTGTTGGGTACCCATGTGATCAAAGGTGTGAGGGAGAGGAAGATATTTGCACACATGTTTAATGCCTTTAAAATGACTTTGATCAAGTGCACACCTGTGTGGAGGTCAGAGGCAGGACTAGGATCCTCCCACAACGTGGGTCCAGGGGATCGAGGTCCAGGGGATTGAATTTCGGTGGTCAGGCTTGGTGGCAAGTAACGTTACCCTCTGAGCTCTCCCACTAGCCTCGTTCTCACATACGCCAAGCTGGAGACGAGGTTCAGTTAAGTAGAGCACAAAGTAGATACACAAAACCCCTGGCTTCAGTCCCCAGCACCACATATATTGACATGGTATTGCATACTTACCATCCCAGTACTCTGGAGGTGGAGACTGAAGAATCTGAAGTGCAAGGTCATTCTGGGCTACACAGAGAAGCCCTGGCTTGTTGGGGAGGGGTGGGCAGCAAGTCAGGAGTATACTGTTTATTTACAAATACTCCCAAGGAGAGCACTGAAGAATCCAGGGATCAGAAAAACAGCTCTGGCCCAGAGGCAGGATACCAGGAGAGGAGGGGTTTGTTTAGAACATGCTCTGTAAACCAGGCTGTCCTCAAACTCAGAGATCTGCTTGCCTCTGTCTCCAGAATGCTGGGACTAAAGACATTCACCACCACCACCACCACCACCACCACC